CCCCCAAACCCACCTGCTCTAGTCCAGACCCTCCCCCAAGCCCACCTTCTCTAGTCCAGACCCCTCCCCCAAACCCACCTGCTCTAGTCCAGACCCCTCCCCCAACCCCACCTGCTCTAGTCCAGACCCCTCCCCCAAGCCCACCTGTTCTAGTCCAGACTCCTCCCCCAAGCCCACCTGCTCTAGTCCAGACCCCTCCCCCAAGCCCACCTGCTCTAGTCCAGACCCCTCCCCCAAGCCCACCTGCTCTAGTCCAGACCCTCCCCCAAACCCACCTGCTCTAGTCCAGACCCCTCCCCCAATCCCACCTGCTCTAGTCCAGACCCCTCCCCCAAACCCACCTGCTCTAGTCCAGACCCCTCCCCCAAGCCCACCTGCTCTAGTCCAGACCCCTCCCCCAAGCCCACCTGTTCTAGTCCAGACCCTCCCCCAAGCCCACCTGCTCTAGTCCAGACTCCTCCCCCAAACCCACCTGCTCTAGTCCAGACCCCTCCCCCAAGCCCACCTGCTCTAGTCCAGACCCCTCCCCCAAGCCCACCTGTTCTAGTCCAGACCCTTCCCCAAACCACCTGCTCTAGTCCAGACCCCTCCCCCAAGCCCACCTGTTCTAGTCCAGACCCTCCCCCAAGCCCACCTGCTCTAGTCCAGACCCCTCCCCCAAACCCACCTGCTCTAGTCCAGACCCCTCCCCCAAGCTCACCTGCTCTAGTCCAGACCCTCCCCCAAGCCCACCTGCTCTAGTCCAGACCCTTCCCCAAACCACCTGCTCTAGTCCAGACCCCTCCCCCAAACCCACCTGCTCTAGTCCAGACCCTCCCCCAAGCCCACCTGCTCTAGTCCAGACCCTCCCCCAAACCCACCTGCTCTAGTCCAGACTCCTCCCCCAAGCCCACCTGCTCTAGTCCAGACCTCTCCCCAAACCACCTGCTCTAGTCCGGACCCCTCCCCATAACCCACCTGCTCTAGTCCAGACCCTCCCCCAAGCCCACCTGCTCTAGTCCTGACCCCTCCCCAAACCACCTGCTCTAGTCCAGACCCTACCCCAAACCCACCTGCTCTAGTCCAGACCCTCCCCCAAGCCCACCTGCTCTAGTCCAGACCCCTCCCCAAACCACCTGCTCTAGTCCAGACCCCTCCCCCAAACCCACCTGCTCTAGTCCAGACTCCTCCCCCAAGCCCACCTGCTCTAGTCTAGACCCCTCCCCAAACCCACCTGCTCTAGTCCAGACTCCTCCCCCAAGCCCACCTATTCTAGTCCAGACCCCTCCCCAAACCACCTGCTCTAGTCCAGACCCCTCCCCATAACCCACCTGCTCTAGTCCAGACCCTCCCCCAAGCCCACCTGCTCTAGTCCAGACCCTCCCCCAAACCCACCTGCTCTAGTCCAGACCCTCCCCCAAACCCACCTGCTCTAGTCCAGACCCTCCCCCAAACCCACCTGCTCTAGTCCAGACCTTCCCCCAAACCCACCTGCTCTAGTCCAGACCCCTCCCCCAAACCCACCTGCTCTAGTCCAGACCCTCCCCCAAACCCACCTGCTCTAGTCCAGACCTGTTTCTCTAAACTCACATCGCCCATCCCACCCTCCACATGCCCCTGAACCCAACCCACACACCCTACCTCTGGAGTCTGTCCTCTCAGGTCAGTGAGGTGCTCTCCTCACTCTAATTCTTTTGTTTCCCAAAATGTAAGCTCTCCCTGACCAGAGGCTTGACTATAGGGAAAGGGCCAGGATCTGGGAGGAGTGGGTGGATCCCTGCAGGGTCAGGAAAGACCAGGTCTGCAAAGGCCTGCTTGTTCCCGGTTCTAAGAGGCATCAGAATCACCAGGAGGGTGGTTTCACATGCCAGTTCCCCGGCCTACCTGCTGCAGGGGAAGGGGGTGTCTGCATTTTAACAAGTATCCTCGGTGATTCAGTGTGGTCATCTGTGGCCCACACTCAGAGAACTCGTGCTACAGACTGTCCCTTGATCTCCACTCCCCACCCGTGTTGTCCCTTCTCGGCCAACGTTCAGAGAGGTCTGTCCTGCTCCCACTCCCTCGCTTCTCGCTTACTCCCCGGCCCATAGCAATCTGGCTTCCACTGGCGCTCCATAGAAACTGTTTTGGGGAAAGTCACCACTGGCCTCTTAATCAGAAGCCCAGGGAACCCTGACAGTGACCCTGCGGACCCTGCCCCTCCCAGAGCTGCCTTGGGTCCTCCCACTGTCCTCCGTGCTGTGCTCACTGAGTTCCCCTTGCCCTCACCCTGCCTGCTTTCCCTGGACGACCTCACCTGATCCCATGTCTCACCAATACCCAAACCCAGTCCTCCATCTGCTCCCACCTTGCACCTGCGCTCTGACCTTGCTCTCACCCTTCCTGGACACACACAGGCCCCTCCCACTCAGACCTCCCCTCCCTGTCTCATCCACTAGGACCTCAGTCTCAGACCCCATCCCTACCTGCTCACCCAGCCTGCAGGTTCTCGGTCCTAAATGTCCTGCATCACTTTGCACCAGCCGTCACTGTGACCATCCAGCTGTCTTCCTGCCTCACCTTCTGCCCATGACCTCTCCCCAGCGCTCACCCTAAATCAGTGGTTCTCAACCTTCCTAATGCAGTTCCCCATGTTGTGGTGACCTCCAACCATAAAATTATTTTCGTTGCTACTTCAAAACTGTAATTTTGCTACTGTTATGAATCGTAATGTAAATATCTGATACGCAGGATGTATTTTCATTGGTACAAATTGGACATAATTAAAGCATAGTGATTAATCACAAAAACAATATGTAATTATATATGTGTTTTCTGATGGTCTTAGGCGACCTCTGTGAAAGGGTGGTTTGACCCCCAAAAGGGTCGTGACCCACAGGTTGAGAACCACTGCCCTAAATAGATGACAACTGACCTGGCTAGCTCCCCTTCAGGCTGTGGTAACCCCTTGCAGTCTTCAGAATAAACTCCATCCTGAGCCCATTTGCCTTTCTGGCCACTCACCACCCACCCGGCATCCGCCAGGTGGTGACACGTAGACACTCAACACTCGCACACGCTGGGCAGGCTCCGGGGCTCCCCCGGCCTGTGACGTCCTCCCCTAGGTCTCCCACCTACACACTCCCACACACCCTTCCAGGCCCAGGCGAACGGCGCCTCTTCTCTGTGCCCTTCTCTCGGGACTAGTCCTCCTGTGATCTGTGTGCCCAAAGTTCTTTACACATTTGCTCTTGCATCTGCCCTGCTGGACCAGCAGCTCGAGGGCAGGCAGCAGCTTGAGGGCAGGGCTGTGAAAAGGCACGTGCCTGGCACACAGATCGGGGCTAACATGAGCAAAAGTGTCCCATCACCGGGAGAGCGGCCCCCTAGTGCTCTTGTCCAAGGCAGAGGTCGCCTCTTAGGGGTGCCTGGAGGCTAATTAGAGTTGCACAAGGGCATTGTTCTCAGTTCTAAACAATAGGCCCCCTGACACTGCAAGGAAGGTCAAAGCAGCCCTTTGCTGGCCGGAACCAGAATGCGGAACTGAGCAGTTGGCCTGCGTTTCAGCACATTCCTTACCCTTTCTTGGATTTTTATTTTTCTGTAACACAAGTTACCAAGTCCCTCTGGCTGATTTTTCAGTTGGATTCAATGTATATGTAATTTTTGGGGTTCAATTTTATTATTATTAGGTCACAGGTAATTCTCATGTAAGTGTTGATTAAAGTGAAAAGAGATTAGCTTCCCCTCCATAGGGTGAGTCCTCTGGGGCCTGACTGTGATTTCAGCCCTGAGCTTGTTAGCACCAGTGCCTCTGGGAGAAGCCTGGGTCCACGCGAGCATCCAGCAAAGCCCAGCTGTGGGCCCGAAGCTGGACTAGGGCTGCACAGAGCGCTGACCTGGCCCCACGGACCCTGGCACAATGTGATTATGGAGACTAGGCTCATCAGCAAGAGGAGGAGCAGCGACGACCCGAAAGGCGCGAGGAGGGCTGCATGGAGGAGGTGAGAGAATGGAGGAGGGAAGGGGTGCGAGAGGGTTCCAGGAAGAACGCTGGCTGTTAAGATGGAGATGGTGTCAGCACCTTCACTGATGCTGCTGAGAGGGCCAAGTGGGGTGACCGACTGCAAAGTGCCGTGCAAGGGGTGGGCCACTCCCTCGGAGCTGCTGGCTCCCTGCTGTTGCCCATGACCATGACCACAGCCCCTTTACCCGGATTCCGTGTAACCCTGAGACCAAATGACCTATTTTGGGCTCTCTGGCTGCATGCCCTGAGCCAGCAGCCTCGGCTGCAGAGGGTGGGAGCCAGCAGAGCCTGGGACAGCCCAGCTGGCTCCAGGCTGGGGACCTTCCCTGGAAAGTCTCTTGCAGAAAGAGTGTGATCCGATGAGGCTGGGACAGGTGTGAGGAGCCACCGTGCCTGCACCACAGCTCCCAGCTCAGGTGAGGGGAAGAGAAGGACAAGAGCTTCCTTAGCAAATCGGGGTCTCTCACAGCCCCAGGACACCTGGGCAGGGGCCCATACGAAGCACCGCACCAGGATGACAGCTCTGCAGGTGACGGGCCACAGGGGCCTCTGCCCTGTGCACTGGGGCCTGGGATGGGCACCCGCTGGGCCCCGTTCCCGGGGCGGTGCTGGGGCAGGAAGAGACGGGTGCTCTCGACAACCGCACACTCAAAGGCCCGCAGGGCCCGGGACAACAAAGCAGTGGAAAACTCGTCCCAATGTCTCCAGTGCCTCCTGAGATGCCACAGTAACTGCCAAGTCTCTCCTGTTGCTTTGAAACGCACGGGGCCTGTAAGCCACTCCTAGAATTCTCTTAAAATAACTGAAGATTTACACGTAGAAAGTCAACATGTGGCACAGCCTGGACCCGCTGACCGGCTCTATGGCCTTGGACTTGTTACTTAACCTCTCCAGCCACTGTCTCTTTTTGAAAGTGAAGAGGGCTCTTGTGAGGCTTCCTGGGAAAACCCTCGACAAGCAACCAGGCTCAGAGCAGGACCTCAGTGTTTGCTGTTGTGATTTTTTTTTTGACTCTTCCCCCTTCACCTGCTTTAATAGCTCTAAAACACCAAAGAGGAGGGGCTTGGGTTTCGCTTGCTCTGCTTTAAAACATCATGGCTTTCTGTTCCATAGGAGAGGAGGGGGCCGCAGAGGGCCCAGCCCACAGGGGTGACTTTGGTTGTCCCTGGTCTTGTTGCATAGAGGAGGCTGGGGTATGAGAAGGCACTGCTGTGAGGTTCCTGGCTGGTCCGACCCAAGCCAGACAGTGTGCTATGCTACCTCGTTCCACCACCAGGAGGCGACTGTTCCATCTGGCTTTTCTTCCTTTGGAGTTGCTGGCCGGATGGGCGGGGAAGGGAGGCCAGAAAAGGGATGTAGTGTGGCATCGCGGCAGGTGAAGCGAAATCTAGGCCTGGGTCGGTTGCCAGAAAGCTTCCTCTCTCAGCGGGGAGTCGACGCGGGAGGATTCCTCCTTGACCTAAGACTGGGAGAGGGGAAGTTACGGGCCAGGCAGCCGTTAAAGTTCTCTCGTGCACAAGGGAACCGCTTCCTCCCAGTTCAGAGGATGAGCTTTTAGGAAACGCTGCTGCCTTCCCAGGAACGCGCGTCACCCGGGTTGGGCCACCGTCCAGAATGTAACTGTTTGCTGTGGCTCTGAGGGGGGCGGCCGCGCTGGTTTAACTGCATGGATAGTTCGGATTGGCTCTGAACTCCCTCCTTCAGCCCCCGAATGGACGGGCCTGGAATCCTAGAAATTCCACACCAAAGAGGGGCATACCAAAGCGAAAGGGAAAGGAAGTTAAAAAACTAGATGGTCTTTCCCGATCTCCCTTCCTCACTCCTGGTCAGGGCGCCCCCTGCAGGCCGCTGTCTCAGCACGTCTTCAGCACCTGCTGCAGATGGAGGCGCACGTCATGGGCGGTCTCCCAGGGCACCACCGTGGCGCGGAAGGAGCTGGGCTCGGCCTTCTGCGCCTCCTGGATCAGGCGGTGCATGGGGTAGCCGCGGCGCGGGAAGGCCACGTCGCCGCCGGCCAGCAACCCCATGGGGCAGAAGTCATTGGCGCCGTCGCCCACGTAGAAGAGGCGCTCGAAGTGCACGCCGTCCTGGGCCCGCTCGCGCAGGTAGTCGCTGAGCACCTTGTGCTTGCACATGTTGCTGGGGCACCGCGCGCAGCTGTGCGCGTGGAAGGGCCGCAGCGCCAGCAGCCCCCGCGCGTCGGGCCCCGAGGGGTTGCTGAGGATGCGGCGGAACAGGCCCAGGTGGCCGGCGGCGCGCAGCGCGCTCTCCACGCCGAAGGTGTTGGCATCCGAGATGAGGATCACTTCGAAGCAGGCTCCCTGCTTGGCCACAAACTGCAGCAGGTCGCCCATGCCCGGGGACAGGGGGATGGCCTCGTAGACGGCGCGCAGGTCCCGCGGCCGCACGCCCTGCTCGCCCAGGTACTGGAAGACCCGCAGCATGTACTCATTGGAGAAGCCCTCGCGGTAGGTGGCGCGCAGGCTCTCCGGCAGCTGCTGGCCCGGCGCGGCGCGCACGATCGAGTCGTCGCTGTTTTCGTCCACGATGGTCTCGTCAAAATCGAAGGTCAGGAGGAAGCGCGGCGCGCCCTGCACAGCCATCCCGCCGTCCAATTCCCCGGAAGGACCGTGTCAGCGGGTGGGGTTCGTGCCAGAGTCCGAAGCGAGCGAGCAGCAGAAGCAATGGGGCTTGGAGAGGTAGGAGCCTCCCGCGCCAGGCCACGGCATACCCTAGACAGGCATCGGAGGCCAGCAACTGGAAAACACCCGCTCTGGTTGGTGCACCTCCCCAGCACCACCTGTAGGGACTGCTGGGCGCTAGCCCTCGTCCAGAGCTCCTCTGAGCAGTTTTGTCCTGAATGATCAAATCGTTTTGTGTTGTCCAAGAGTTCCTCAAATAAAAGGGGCAAGGATCTCCGAGCTTCTCCGGCAGGCTTGGTTGCAGGCTCCTCCCTGACACCCTGGTCGGGGCTTGTGCAGGAGGCAACCAGTCGACGTTTTCTTCTCACATCGATATTTCTCTCTGTCTCTTTGCTGTTGTGATTAACAGCAAAAATGAGAAACCAATGTCCCACAATAAAGGATCCGTCAAAAAACAGGGCACAGCCGTATGGCTGCATGTTATGCAATTGCTAAAATGTTTTCTTGAAGATTGTTTAAAACATTGTAAAACGATCATAAGTAAAAAACTGGATGTTAAAACGGGTAGTAAAATGTTTATAGTATAAGGTCCCAACTTTGTGGTGGAAATAGATGCATATTTTTAAAAGGCTGACGGGAAATTTAACAAAATGTAATAGTGATGAGAGCTATGTAATAGGATTCAATCTTTTAAGCTGTTTCTGTCTCTCCCTCTGACTGTGCGTTATTTTATAGCCAGAAAAGTGGTCAGTTGTGCTACAGAGAGAGCAGCGCTGGCAACACTAAAGGCATGAACTCAGCACTCTGTCCCGCCTGCGCTGGAAGCTGCAGCTGGGCCTTCTCCGCAAGGCGACCTTCCCAGGAAGTACTGATCTCCTCTGGTTCAAAGCCAGGCTGTCAGGTCCCTGCAGCGCTCAGAAAACTGGCTCCATGTCTCTGCCTTTCTCAGGGACGGCAGGCTCCAGCCCCACACATACAGGAAGGGAAACCACAGTCCCAGGTTCAAGGAACTCAGAGTTGGTCAGAAGCAGACCAGGAAACAGTGTGCGAGCAGCGCAGTCGAGTACAGAGTACACATGTGATGGAAATCACAGGAGGGCCTGGCCTGCGCGAGGCAGGAGGGAGTGGGTGTCAGGGCCTGGCCTGCGCGAGGCAGGAGGGAGAGGGTGGTCAGGGCCTGGCTCCTGGGCTCCTAGTAGCCGAGAGGCAGATGCAGAGGCAGAAAGGTGTGAACACGCGTGGCCTGAGACAGGAGCCGAGAGCCATTCCCTGTGGCTGCCTAAGGTGCATGAGGTCACGGTGTTGCAGGTTGGCAGGGGGTCTTGCTCGTCATGCTAAGGGGGCTGGACTCCAACCTCAGGCAGGAGAGAGCCACTGAAAGGTTTTAAGTGGGGGAGGCCTGCTGATATGGCCTTCAACAATCCCTCTGGCCAGGGAGTAGAAAGTGCACTGTAGGGGGCAAGTGAGACGTCAGGGTGCCAGTTAGGAGCTTTTGCAGTAATCAAGATGAGAATTAATACAGGCTCAGACCAGATGGGGTTCAAACCAAGCTGGAGAAGATGAAGCAGATCTGAGCAGCATTAAAGCTTCGAGATACTTGGGGAAGAGAGGAGGACACGGCAGAGAACACAGGTGGGGAAGGTTCTGAACCTGGGTCTGCTGAGTGGGGGACACCGTGGTGAGGTGGTCAGTCGGGAGCTGCACATACAGTCGGGTCAGCAGAGGGGTCTGCGCTGAGGGAGCATGTCTGTGGAAGTCACCGTAGCATGTGAGCTCCCAAAGAGAACGTATGAGACTGAGAGTCGAGAGGACAGACTATGGAGGAGACCAGCGTGACAGGGAAAGAGGGCATTCACAGGGGGGTGAGCAGAGAGGTAGAAAACTGGGGGAGGGGAGAGAGGTGTGTATCATGGAAGACAAGGAGGAAAAGCAGGGTTTCTGGAAGGATCATGGTGACCTCACCTGGCCAGATCCTGCTGAGTAGTCATAGGCGTGTGGGTGTGACCATATAGGCCCCGGAATCGTCCATGGGACACCCAGGCTGGCCTCAGCCACCTCTCAACTCTCAGTCTCAGAGCCCCAGAGGCCAGGCATGTCCACTGTTCAGTCCAGTACTGGGGGCCACGGGACCCTCTGCTGGACCCCTTTAGTGAGCTCTCAGGGGCAGGCCCACGCTCCAGGGTCTCCAGCAGATACTGGACACAAGTTTACCAGGGGGAGAGCGGGAATGGGGGAGGCTGGGAGGCCTGGGTGCAGCAGGATGGGCCAGATTACAGTGGGCAACGAATGCCCAGCTCACTCTCCTCCCTAGGTCGAGGGAGGGCAAGCAGTGCCCCGGGTACCGGTCCCCTCCGGCTGCAGAGGGGAAGTGTTTGTGGTTCTAAAGATTGTGGGCAGGACCCCAGGACTAATGCCAAGCACAGATCCATTGGTGGGGTGGCCTCGGGAGCCCTATGGAGGGGAGCTGGAACAGCAAGAGGCTGCAGACACCCAGGAGGGAGCAAGGGGCATTTGCTGAGAGACAGCGCCACCTCGTGGCAGGAGGCACTCCCACCAGGCTTCTGCTCCTAGGCCTTTGGGGGTCTTTCATGCTGGGGCCCCTGCACCGGAAGCAGTGAGCCAGGCTTTTGCCACCTGGGCAGCACTGGAGCCTCTGACAGCAGCATGCCCCGTGGCATCCGCTGAGGTCGGCTCTGCCCGCAGAGAAGGCAGGCAGACTAGAATTTTAGCCGACAGCCACTGGGCGCCATGGGGAGGGCAGAAATGTAAGGTCTTACTCTCAGGCTTGTCCCTGCACAGCCGGAGGGACTGGACTGGCTGCTGGCTGGTTGCCATTGTGTGTGTGTTCGTGGTGTCTTTAGGCCAGTGGTCGGCAAACTCATTAGTTAACAGAGCCAAATATCAACAGTACAACGACTGAAATTTCTTTTGAGAGCCAAATTTTTTAAACTTAAACTATATAGGTAGGTACATTGTTATTAACTTAATTAGGGTACTCCTAAGGCTTAGGAAGAGCCACACTCAAGGGGCCAAAGAGCCACATGTGGCTCGCGAGCCGCAGTTTGCCGACCACGGCTAGGCTCATGGTGAAGTACCAGCGTGCCGCGAGGCTCTTCCAGACACAGCCACCCTCCCCTCCCCAGCTCAGGTCCCCGGGAATCCTCGGGCTTTCTGCAGCGCATACCTTCCGTGAGGCTCAGGTCAGAGTGACCGTGGCGGTGAGGGGCCACCTGCAGGTCACCCGGCAGCAGAGAGCCACCCCTGCCACCAGCCTGCCCGGAGGTTCTCCCCTGGCTCCAGGCTCAGCTCCAGGAGCTGCTTCCTGGAGAGAGAGGTGGCTGAGGCCAGCCTGGTGTCCGTGGACGACCCACACTCAGAAGGGCCCAGACTCTGGGGCCCATATGGTCACACCCACACCCATGACTCACTCCTGGCTGCTTAGCAGTTTCGGGCCAGGTGAGGTCACCATGATCTCCTAAACGACTCGACAGAGTTCACTTTCATTCTCAATTGTTGGTTTGGCGGAGAGAGGTAAAGAGTTCTCATAAAAATACTTTTTTAAACTTCCCTTATTACAAAAGAAATGTGTGAGCCATGTTAAAAATTAGCATTCTAAAAATGTGTGATTTGGAAAGTGAAAGTCCGTTATATAGTGTTACCCTGTATCAAAATTTTCTATTAGCAGCCTGGTGAGTTTTCTTAAAAAGAAAAACAGAAACAAAGTTTGCATTGTTTTCAGAGAGAGGAAGGGAGAGGGAGAGAGAGAGAGAAACACCAGTGATGAGAGAGAATCATTGATCGGCTGCCTCCTGCACGCGCCCTACTGGGGATCAAGTCCACAACTGGGGCATGTGCCCTGACGGGGAATCAAATCATGACCTCCTGGTTCATGGGTTGATGCTCAACCACTGAGCCAACACCAACCAGGCCTGGTGTATTTTATTTCAGCCTTTTTTTCTATACACGCGTGGGTATGGGGGGAGAGATGAATGTGTTGTTTTCTATACTGACACAGTCCTATAGCTTTTCTTGATTTTTCCAGTAAAACATTCCACCAGAGGCATTTTTATCACCCCCGCTCAAATTCAGGTTAATTCAGTGAGCCAAGACCAGGGTGGGAGGCAACGTGAGGGTTTCGGGTAGATGAGGTTCGACACTGGGAGAGGGGCCTGGAAGAGGAGCGCGCTCCAGAAAACATACCCCAGGAGGCAGGGCAGACTCCACACCCGCGTCTCCCTCCCAACTCCGCCAACAGTGCAGGCGGCCCAGGACAGGCTGCCCTGTGTGTGTAGCCCGGCGAGCGGCTGCCCAGGGAGCTGCCTGAGCCACTGGGACGTCCTGTACGTTTCTGCTGAGCTAGGTGCACAGGCTGGGTCACGCCCAGCGTCAGAGCTCGGAACTGGGCCCTGAGCCAGGGCAGAGCCCTGTGACACCCAGGAGAACAAGGGCAGCTCCAGGACAAGCAGCCGTGTGCCAGACCCTCAGCCCTCTGCTATGGAGCCCCTCGCATCGGACGTGCCACGCTGTTTTATGGCAAATAATTCAAACTAAGTGTCATAAGGACAAAAGAAAAAAACTGGAAGAAGATGCTGGCCAGGAGACTGGGCGACAGGGTTGCATAAAGCTTCCAGAAAGGAGGAGCCCCGAAAGTGCCCAGCAGCCTCCTGCTGCCCCAGGGCAGACAGTGGCGAACCCAGTACCCAGATGAAGAATCGGCTGCAGGTCTGTACCCGGGGCCCCTGGTAAGTGGCTGCCTGACCAAGGGCAGTAACTGTGTCCTTGCCCGTTAAGTGGAAGTAATACAAATAGTAGCGATCTACACTTAAATTAAATGACTGTATCAAGCACTTAGCACACGCCTGCTAAACAATATACTCAAATGCCACCCACTACCATGATGATGATTATGATGGCACTCAAAAAAGAATGAACTCCTGGGGGCACAGACACTTCCAGGGCCTTTGGGCCTCCCCTCTGGGCACAGCCAGGACACACCAGCCACTGTGTAGCCGCACCCAGGCCAGGTCCTAGCACACAAGACAGGGTTACTCCCTCTGCACAGGGTGCTGGGTGGGCAGGGGTCAGGCCAAAGGTGGAGGAATGCAACCATCAGAGCGTCTGCAGTGACAGGGGCCCCTGGACACCTCCACTTCTTGCCTCCCCCAGGCCTAGGAAGGGATCCCAGCAGGCTGGACCAGGCAGGGGCCCCTGGGGCTAGATGCGGCTCTGCCTGGGGCTCAGCTCTGTGGGGAGGAGGGCGCTGTGGCCCCTCCTTGTCTCTCACGGACCCCCACTGGGAGGGCTGCAGCTGCGCTTTCTAAAGGAGCCTCCCGGGGTGCCCTGGGAAGGTGTGGCCGCCGGGCCTCACTCACCCTGGTCGATGGAGTGCTGCGGCAGCTGGCTCAGCTGGCTGTTGACCACCCCCGCGTAGGTGCGCAGGAACTCCTCCTCGCTGGCCGTTAGCTGCAAGGGGAGAGCGGCAGTGAGGGCGGACCATCGCCTCTGAAGGCACCTGCCAGGCCTGTTTGGTCCCCGAGAGGTGCCAAGTCCTTTGCTCCCTGGAGGTTTGACCCCACCGTTCCAGAGCAAGCACTCCTCCCACCCCTGAAACCTCGTGGTCCACGAGGCCTCGCCACTCAGAGCAGACCTGAGGCTGGACTCTAGGGTAGCGCAGGGCCACTGGGAAGGCGCTGCCCTCTCCGTGCCTGTCCCGCCCAGTGCCCCTGGGCGCTCCCTGGGAGAGAAGACTCACCCACCTGACCCAGAGGTGGGAAGATGCCCCAGCAGTGCCCCTGGAACTGCACTTCCCAGACTCAGTGCCCACATGAACCGGCCACAGAGCCAAACCACAGGCTCAGCATCCTTCCCGACCACGGCTGCTCCAGGCGGGAGCTACAGCCTCTGCTCTGCCCCCTCAGGCACTCACGTTTGATCCCATCTTCCTCAGCATGAGCAGCACGCGGACCTTCTGCTGAATGTACATCTCCTCCGGACTCTTCCCGGGCGCCCCCTCGCGGTTCATCCCCTGGCCAGCTCTGGGGACTGCTGCAGAGCGAGAAGCATGGGGGGTGTCAGGACGAGACTGCCCAGGAGACAGGGAGCTTCGTGGGAGTGTCAGGCCACCCACTTCGCTGCAGGGTCTCGTTTTTGAGAGTCCAGAGCAGGTGGCGAGTTGCCTGTTCCCCCAAGACCCCACTAGCCCCTGTGTGCACAGAGCTCAGGCCAGGGAGACCGAGGAGATCCAGACGCCTGGCCAGCTCTGCCTTCCACCACAAGAGGTGGGCAACATGCCCCCACGGTGTCCCAGGTTTTCAAAGCCAGCACCTCCACCAGGAGCAGGAGGGGCACGATCAGAGGCAGCTGGCCAGGCCTCCGCTGGAGGAACTGTGGGACCAGCACCCGGCCCCAAACCCCAAGGCAGCTTTCTCAGGCAAGGCCCCTGGCGAGACCAAGAGGCCAGCTCCCGGACTGGGCTCCAAGGAGTCCCTCGATGGGGATTGGCGGGCTGGGGCTCTGGGGCACCAGACCCAGGCTCACTGCCACCACCCTCACAGGCCCACCCCACCTGTCCCAGGCAGCTCCTGCAGGCAGCAGCTGTGTCCAGGTGCAAGGGGGACCCGACCTGCAGGAAGGTCCCAGGAGAGAAGTCCCAGGGTTTCCCCTCCAGGAGAGCCAGTGGAGAGGAAGCCAGGCTGGAGGGGTTGGATTTCAGATCTGTAACTCCTGGACGAGTCAGAAATAACGCGGCAGCTGGTGGGGGTGGAGCTTCGGCAGCCCAGTGCCAGGAGCTGCGCTCGGAGACCAAGGGAGCTGGGCCGGTGGGCCAAGAACACTCCTTGCACCATCTACCCATCCCTCGGGTGGCAAGCCCTGGACCAGCAGGCGCTCCCCAGCGGGGTGATCTCCTGGGGAGGCGGCTCTCTGTGCAAAGGGTGGACTCAGAAATGTGCCAGCGCCTGCACAGCTGCTTCCCTGGAGGTGCCCGTCAACTGCCTGGTCCCCATAACCTAGCAGAGCCCTGGCCCTAAAAGCCCACCCGACAGGCCAAAGGCTGGCCAGCTGGGGTTTAAGTAGCGGCCATATGTCTGATGTGACATGGTCCCCTTTCAGGGCCTTCCCTTCTGCCACTAAAGCCCCAGGCTCCCTAGTCAACTGTCTACCCGCCTTCTACCTCCTCCAGGTGCAGAAAAGGGTCTAATAACCGGACCCTGGGAAAGAGCGGTGAGGCGCCTCAAGAATGGTCTCTGATGAGAGGCAGTCCCCCCCACCCCCCGGGCCCGGTGGGCAGAGTGCAGCGGACAGCCCTGACTTCCCAGCACAGCTGAGCGGGCAAGCTGGCTTCTAGGTTTCACTTCTCACACTGACCCCTTCTCACTGCCTTTCGCTCCCCCCCCCAACCCCGCCACAACGATCTTTACAAGAAGGCCAGAACAGATGACACCACTCCCCGACCCCACAGCCTTTGCCAGAACCCCAGGAGGCCTGCACAGTCGGCCCTGCCCCTTCCCTCTCTCCCCTTGCCGCTCTGCCTTCCTGGCCCCAGTCTGGTTCTAGAACATGCCAAGAAGCCCTTTCCCCCAGCAGCCTTTGCACCGAGTGTCCCCTGGGCCTCCACTGGATTCCTTTCATCCTTCATCTCACTCAAAGCCGCCTTCCCAGGAAGCCTTTCCTGGCAGCACAGCCAAAGCAGGGTCTGCACCCCACCCCAGACCTTACAGCCACGTAGCCCTGGCTTGTCCCAATTTTCTGAAAGCACTTGTTGGAGCATTTGCTTGTGTCTCTTCCCAGCCTGACCGGAAGGCCAGGACATGTGTGCTTCACTCACCCTGTCCTCCTGCGCCCAGCACCGTGCCTGGAGGAGCTTAAGGAATATGGCCCAGTGGCTGAATGCAGTATGGAGACCAGCCTGCGGTGTCTAAACTTTCCCA